ACAAACCGGGCATACCTGCAACAACAATGTCACTATGAGAAATAAGTTCAATAAACAAGATAGAGTTTCTTCAATAAAAAAACCAGCAATTGGCAACTACAATACTGAACAGCCAATTCCATTATTCCGCCATGAGTCTCACTATGTAACATGCCAGTATTTTATATTTGTACTCATTAGAGTTTCAATTGGCAGTTGCTTCTGTTACATCCTCCAAGAAACACACTCTAAACTTTCATGTGATGGATCAGAAATGTATATACACATTTTTTGCTTCAAATGTCATAAACCATTGTTTGAAAGATACAAAAACTTACCACATTTTTGGCTTCCATAGGATGATCTTCATCTATGTGGCAACTTGATAAGATAATAGTCTCTTGCTTCCATATGCAATTTGATAAGATAAAAACCATCATTGATGCTTTATATAATTAACTAAAATATTTTTCTGACTAGACAATCATGCTTGAAATGTTTGGCGTTTCTGATCAGATTGGTTACGAAGAGAACTTTTAATAAAATTAATTTTATATATAGTAAATATTAGACTAACACGTGAATTTGATCCCACATCGCTTGTAAGCGGACGATAAAACGGGGCTTACGGACATAATTTCTTTTGGTAAAGAAAATAGAGCTAAAGTATAATTTGGGTATCTATGGCATTTTCAGAATATTAAGAACCGAAGATTTCTGTGCTTAAAACTACAATGCAACTTCTACAAGCCTGCAAGTATTGTGTTTTCTTTTAATCTTAGTCTTGTAAATGATATAAAAGTATGGTTTTTGTTCATATAAAGTAATTAATTTCATATATAATATACGGAGTGTGAGGTAGGCAATACAAATTTTAGAAAAGGCAGTATTTATTGACGTTTCCTTTAAGTTGGAATTGGACAGAGACCCACTTCCAAAACATTTCATGGAAAAAGTTGTCACTAGGAAAAAAAAATCCATTCCGAAGTTGACAAACCAGCTTAAGCTACGCGGCACTTTGATTTTTCACTAAGCTACAATTTTTGTTTACTTCTTTTTTTCTGGTCTTCGTTTCGAAATTTCTAAACAAGATTGTGTTTCGGGGTGTCAGGAACGCTTTTGCTAGTCAATTATGCCGGAAGATTCAAAAAGACTCTTAGTAGGGAAGACTTCAAATTACACTATGTTTTTTTTATAAATATATAAAGTGATCCTCAACACTAATTTATCATCACTACTTGAATATTTTACTTGCCTTCACAAATATGAAAATTTTCTTATTTAATCAGAAAATGAGCTTTCTTCTTCGTTCTCTCGGTTTTTTTTTTCCTCATTTCCTGTTTTCTAAACACGTTTGTTTCTCCTGCACAAAATGACTTGTGTAATCCCGACCAAAGAGATGCTCTTCTTGAGTTCAAGACTGAGTTTGGGATCCAGAAACTTGCTTTGGTTTATTTTGAAGTCTCTTCTTATCCAAAAACAGAATCATGGGTGAATAACAGTGACTGTTGTTCTTGGGATGGTATCACGTGTGATGTCAAGTCTGGCGAAGTGATCGGA